GTTCACTTCATTTTAGATTTCACCAGCTAGCCTAACTCTGGATAGAAACCAATAGAATAACATTCCTTTTTCAATAGTTTCTCTTTCAATTCACGTAAACTATGATAACAACTTTACTGCTAGCTAGATTCCTCCATTACTCTCTCCCACAACCTCTTCAATCTCAATTTGCTATCTCATATTTTTTATAAAACCTTGTTTTTAAAATTCCTTTGTTTTTGACAACTTTTATTTGTCTCTTTTGTATGAAAACTATGATATATGAGAAGCTAAGCTACCATCCATTATTTCATAGTCCATAGAGCAAATACTTTGTTTTTGATTTAACATATTATAAATAGTAAGCACCAATTATAAGTAATTATTATAAGGGCCAAAATTATGTCCATGCAATTTTCACTTGTTTTATTATTTACAAGAATATATAAAGTCATACATATAAAGTGAAGTCCTGAATGTACAATGGAATAAAGAACAGTGATGGCCATTTACTTGTGTCACTTGCAACTTATTTTATGGCAAAAATTGGGATTGATTGGGGAAAAAGTGGAAGGGTTCAAATACGTTTGACTGTGTCTGTATCTTCTGTAGAGGGCACAGTATCAATAAAGCAAATTACCGTTATATTTACTTTTGGCTAAAAAAATGAGATGAAAACTTAACAAATAATAATGCCTTATTAAAAAGGCATATAAATCTCAAGGCTGATATATTCAATCCTTATACATGTCCAATGTTTGATAATTGACATACTGATTGTTGAGCCGTGAAATACTACATGAGGTGAGAAATAGGATTTATCTCATGGTAGAGTGATTCTAAGCCCCTTCCTTCCCAAAATACATATATAGGCATCAATTATTTTGGAAGGAGCAGCTTTAAGAGTTCCAGATTAGTTTTATTCAATTCTTCCTTAAATGTCAGACGAAGAGGCGGACAAAAGGAAAAATCTTGAGGTACTGTCTTCTAGAGCAGGGATCCCCAACCTTTTCGACGCCGCGGCCCGGTTCCGGCGTCAGCTGGGCGCCGCGGCCCGGTTCCGGCGTCAGCTGGGCGCCGCCATCTTTTTTTGACGAAAATTCACTTCCGGTGACGTCACCGGAAGTGATTTTTCGTCAAAAAAAATGGCGGCGCCCAGCAACCAGCGGCCCGGTAAGGCTTGTTCCGCGGCCCGGTACCGGTCCGCGGACCGGCGGTTGGGGACCCCCGTTCTAGAGAACTAGAATATTGAGAGGCTTCTTTATACTACTTTTGGAAAACAAGCAGTCAATAAATATTTGGTTTAAGGTGATGCCATTTATTTGAAGTGTGTGGGGTCATTGGAGCTCTCCGAGCTTGGGTGTTTTCTTGAGGATGCTTCATTACCAAACTAGGTAACATCAGTGCTGTTTGGCAGTGGGGTTTGCTCTTATTTTATATACTAGTGGCTTGCTTTGTCAGGGTTGGTGGGAACTGTCTTGGTGGTTCCTTGATTGGGCTGTAGTCTACTGTTAACGTGTTTGGCAGCTCCTTGATTGGGATATTGTTTGCTTATTTAAAGTTATTTAAAGTTGCAAGTATCAGGAGAAAAAAGATAGCAGGCCAAGGAGAGGCTTCAGGAAACATTTCAGAGGACAGATAGACTTTGTTGGTTAAATTTTGCTTGAAAGTTTGGGTTCCTACTCTGTAAGTTATAGAATCAGGTAAGTTTTTGATGTATATCACACAATAATATTTTCATTAAAATAAAGGCTGCCAGAATTGTCCTTTTAAGATCTGGCTGATTCTTTAACTTGTTTCTTCTTAAATTAACTGAAACTAAAGTTGCACAATAAATAGAACAATAAATTAATCAAACAGGCTATGTTTGCATAATTATCTTTAGGCGTAGAAGAACTAGCCAGCTTTAAAACTATTCCAACATAATACCTAGCGTACCCACGACATCTTTAACCTGGTTAAGTGTTCTGTAGGGAACTAAGAGTAATCTGCCCTTCCATGCTGTGTTAGGGGAGGACAGCAAAGGACTCTAAATGCTTAAAGAAGCCTGCAGTCAACCAACACCTACTGCTGAAAGTGCTTATCAGCCCTGCTTTCATTGTTAATTGCTTTGTGATAAGTTTGTCCTGTTAGAAAGCAAGCTGCCAGTGCTGCTGACAATGTAGGATAGGGAAGAATTCTGTCTGCTATTTCAGACTTCCTATTACTTCCATGTTCGGAAGAGAAAAGTTTACTGTTGGTTTATCAGACAGCAAGCTGCATTTTTTTGTTATTGTTGAAGAGGTCAGGACTTGTGTGTTATTATTGAATTCCTGATTTCCTATGCCGCGGTTCATGCAAGAATCTCAGCTCCTGGGCAGTCTATCTGTAAAGGTTCAAGGTAGGCATTCTTGGTGATTTTATTGAGACTTAATTTTAAAAAGTGAAGGTGAAGGGAAGGCAGGCAGATAAAATAGAGCAACAAGTAACTTATATACTTGTATTTATAACTTATAAATACAAGTATATAAACCTATATACATTACAGAGGATGTGAAAAGGAATGTGGGTGTGTTAATAATATCCTAAAATGATATCTTAAAATTGTTGTTTGCTCCCAACAAAATGGCTAAAATACCTTTTATTTAGTATCTGTATTGTCTATCGTGCTTTTAAATTTTTAATTAAATTGATTTTTGCATGCTTGCTTAATTTGAGCAGGATATTTTACTAACAATATTCTTTTTAGGTCTTTATGCTAGGAAAATAATAGTTAATTTAATGAACTATGAGCAGACTTGTGAACCGAGTGGTTTGGCTAAAGTTTTAAGTACCTTCCTTCAAAGCAATCATTTCAGTAGTAAAAGTTAACATTTAAATGGTTATGCAGACAGACCTACATCCGAATATTTAAAGTAGTGGGAAGTATAATCTTACAAGTCTTTTGCAATTAAGGCAAACAATTGCTAATCTTTCTCCCTTGTAAAGATATGGATCTTTCTAAATTTCTTCATTCCACAAGATGGCAGTAGATGACTTGCTGTCTTTTTAATCTCAAATGGAATACTTTCTAACTTTTAAAATTATGTGTTAATTTTTATTTAAGGACTCAGATGTCTAAACCACAGATCAGCAGATGTAGCATCATTTATCACATGTCATATTTCATATACTGAGAATGAGATACTACCTTCCACTTCAGTTTTTTGAGTTATGATTGCTGCTTCTTGAGCCATGTTGTCCCTTTTGTTTACTTTGAAATTGTGTTCCATCATTTCAGAAAAATGCAGCTAAAATAATCTGTCTGACACTAAAGAATTTTACAATGTTCAAAATCATAATACTGATGGCAATACTATACAGTATTAATCATTAAGTGTCCTGGATTCATGTGATCAACTTTTGCAATCTTCTGGCAAACAAAGTCAATGGGGAAACCAGATTCACTTAGCAACCACGTTACTAATTTAACAACTGCAGTGATTCACTTAACTGTGGCAAGAAAGGTTGTAAAACAGAGCAAACCTCACTTAACAACTGTCTTGCTCAGCAACAGCAATTTTGGGCTCAATTGTGGTCATATGTTGAGAACTACCTGTATACTCTTTCCCCATGAGCTCCAGTCAGCATGGCTGATCTCAGGAACTATTACATCCCCCCCCCCCCCCCCCCACCCCAAAAAAAAGGCAGTAATCTTTTTGAAAACTAGGTTATGGATATTTATTTAAAAAAATAAAGTGCAAGACATTGTTGAAACACAATACAATAATGTCTACACTATTTTCTTAGTAGTAGTGATAAGATACAATTATGTTTAAAAAACAGGAAAGAAACTTGAGCAAGGAAAAATTAGACCAAGGATTCAAGCCTTTGTCTCATACAAATTTACATGCAGTAATAATCTTTATATAGCCAAATATCCCAAAATATCCCATTACAGGAAATCAATACTGCTGTTGATTCAAATATACTGTATCTAGCATAAAAGGAAGCCAAACACAAATGGGATGAAATGCCAATATGTAGCGTTTCCAATTTATGTTTTTGCTAATAACACTTGAAATTCAAATTATAGTAGACCAGGTGGTTTTTATTGAACTTTTTCCCATCCATAGCTAAAAACATAGCCCATGTATAGTTTTGCAATTTGACGTAATTCAATGTGAATCAAAATTATATATTGTCAATCTATTCTTAAATGTATTCATTTTAAGGAAGCTGTAGTGGTTAAGGCACTGGGCTAGAAATCTGGAAACTCTGAATTCCAGCCCCACCTTAGGCACAAATCCACCTGGATGTCTTTGGGCAAGTCACTTTCTCAGTTCTAGGAAACAGGAAATGACAAACCACCTCCAAAGTCTTGCCAAAAAAAGTCCAAGCAGTTGCCAGGAATCAACAATGGTTTGTATTGGCAGTGTATTATATCACAGGTGTGGCCCACGTATGAATGGCTTTGATGGTATTTTCAGCATTCAATTTTGTCTCTTGCAATTTTCTTACTCTTTGGATGTATTCTTTACAAATCACATTTTTAACTTGTCTGCTTGAGGTTATCCAAATTGTAAAATGCCCAGATACTTATAGGCTTCATCATAATGGGTCCTGATGGTTTGGCTATTTGGCATTTCAATTCTATTACTGTTTGTGATTTTACCCTGCTTTATTATACTGTAGCAAATCTCTAGGCCAAAGTCCATTGCTATATGCATGGTAAAAAATTCTTAGTGTTTGTCAATGACTGGATTCTGATTTCTGATTTTGTATATGCCTGTTGTAGAAGTCCATCAAGATTATGCCCTTGCTATACTTTTAGGTATAGAATTACACACAGATTACTTTAAATTTTAGTCTATCTATCTATTTACTCTTTCTAATTATACAAACTCAGTAATTAAATTGCCCTCATATTTTATTTTTAATGTAAGGTACCCTCTTCACACCCTGCAACAGATGAAACTCTCAATTGTTTGAATAAGCAGAAATTCTTATTTGCATAAGCTGTTTTTCCGCTTAAAGGGTTCTTTTTTATTATAATATTTTAGGTCATATCTGACACCTGTAAGAGATGAAGAAGCAGAATCTCTAAGGAAAGCTCGATCTAGGCAAGCTCGTCAGTCTCGCAGATCTACCCAGGTAAGAAACATTAACTTCTACAGAAGAAGGCAATGATCTCTAAATTATTTCATTTGTGTAGTTTTTTTTTCTTAGGTTAGAATGAAAAATTTCTTACATATCTTTGGCCATTAAAAGGCCTGCTTTAAATATAATTTGTATTACTTCTCAAAGTTTATATCTATTTTCAAGGAAGAATATTATTAACAAGTTATAAATGATAATTAAATTACTATTTTTAAAAAGCTAATTATTTTTCATCAGAGAAGAAATATTTGTTGCCATTACTTCATATTGAATATTTGGAAATGCTATATTTAATAGATAATTAAGTTAGCATACTTTGAAGTACTGATTCCCATCTTTGAGTTTACTTGATCAGATTGACTATCCTCTGATTAGAATTTTACCAAGATTATTCATTGTGGGAAGGATAATTTATGATGGGATTTTTATTGACTGTAAAATAGTGATCCTCAATTTTTTGGGCACCAGGGGCTGGTTTCGTGGAAGACAGTTTTTCCACAGACCGGTTTTGGTGGTTGTGGTTTCTATTTTGTTCGCTTGCCCACCATTCACCTCCAGCTGTGCAGTCCAGTTCCTAACCGGCCATAGGTACTGAACTGAGGCCCGGGGATTGGGGACCCCCACTGTAAAGAGACACTACATTAACAAAGACTGTCTTATTTCCCAGGGTGTAACACTTACAGACCTGCAGGAGGCAGAGAAAACTTTTAGCCGGTCTCGCGCAGAACGGTTTACTCAGGAACAGCCAAGTGAAAGGTCAGACAGGCTCAGAGCTAGTGAGGGAAGCGGTGGAAAACAAGAAGATATCCCCAGAAGAGAATCCAGGGAGGTCAACTCACCATGGACTAGAAACTTGGATGAAGAGGTAAGTGAAGCCATACAGAAAACCTTTTTTTCCCAAAATTATGACATTTGATGAGTAATAGATTTGAATTATGTTTGAAGGAAAAAGTATATATTTAATTTGTATCCCATCTTTTTTTACAAGTTGGCTATTAAAAAAAATAGCTTTTCACTTCTGTAATGTTTTTCTTTATTTTTATACCATAGCAATGGATCTTTGTGAAAAAATATACCACTTAATCAGCAGATTTGATTATACTGGTATTCAAAATGACTCTATGATCTGTCCAAATATAACTTGTTGAAACAAATCTGAGTTAGCAGTGTTGACATTTTATTTCAAGGGCAGGCCCAGATGTGGTAACTTGATAAATGTCTTTTAAATGTCATTAAACGGCTTCTGCAGAAGATGTGAAAAATAATAATTATAATTTAAGAGTTCTGCCAGATCAGAGAAAAGTCAGCCAGGTGCTTATGGGAAACCCAGAAGTAGAGAATATGTATAATAGTACCCTTTTAACTTGTATTATAATATCAAACCAGCTCTGACACTAAAAGTGAGCCATCAAAACTATTAGCATTTTCTTCCATGAAATGTATTTTGTCCCCTTTTAAAGTCAGTCAAGGCCCATTACTGCTTTTTGGAGTAAAAAAAAATCTAGTTACCAATTTTATTGATATCACAATTAATTTTATACATTTTTGCCTTACCTCAACCTTCAGTTTTCACTTTAAGTTTTTACTCAGAAGGAATTATTTTCATGTATCCACATATGCATTTTGAGATTAAGAAACCCGAACTGTGAAGAGTAGATACAAACAACCTGCTGTTCTCTACTTGCTTGAGACTACTGTTCCACAATTTCTTGTCATTGGCAATGCTGGCTTAGGCTCAGAGAAGCTGAAGTTCAAATTAGTTAGATAACCTAGTTAAATAAATAGGTACATGTTGATCACTGGTGGAATTCAATTTTTTTTACTACCGGTTTTGTGGGTGTGGCTTGGTGGGCGTGGCAGGGGAAGGATACTGTAAAATCTCCGTCAGAGGTGGTATTTGCCGGTTCTCCAAACTACTCAAAATGTCCGCTACCGGTTCTCCAGAACTGGTCAGAACCTGCTGAATACCACCTCTGATGTTGATCATATCCAGAGGTGGGCTTCAATAATTTTAACAAAGAGTTCTCTGCCCGTTGCTGGGTGTGCATTGCCATGGTAGGCATGGCCTAGTTGGCCTCCTGCACCACGGCGGAGATGGGTGTTTTTGCCCTCCCCGGGCTCCAGAGGCTTTCTGGAAACTGGAAATGGGCCCATTTCCGGTCTTCCCGAACTTCTGGGAGGCCTGTTTTTTGCCCGCTCCGAGCTTCCACATGTGCCCTGTACTTACCTGCATCCAAAACAGGCCACGTGGGGACTCCGGGGAGGGGTGGGGTGGGCGGGGCCTGCCAGGAGTGGGACTTGGGGGTTGTCCGAACTGCACAAAATCTTAGCTAGGGGGTCTCCCAAACCCCTGCGAACCCCCAGCAGCCCATCCCTGATCATATCTGTAAAAATAATGTTTATAGTGGATAGAAGTGATTACTCCTGGTCCAAAACATTCTGGTTTTTGTTTTTGCTTTCAGTTTATGATTAGGGGTAGTGTTAATTATTTTATTAATCAAATTTCTAGGATACCTAATTCCAATGACGCTGAGCCGCTTAATGTATGTAAACAATAAAACAAAAAGCTAACACTCAAAATTATTGTCATTAAGAGGGAAAATACCAAACAGTTATGAAATATAAAATCAGCAGAGATTAAAATGGAAAAAAAGTTGTCTGTACCCTTAAGCCAAGACCTGGGGGAAGAGCCATGTTTTCAGTGCTCTTTGAAAGGCCAGTGGGGTGGGGATCATACTAATTTGTGGGGGGCAGATGTTATTTCAGGGAAGATGCCATGGCAGAGAAGCCCTGTTTCTTAGATCCTACCTGATAACGTTGATGGGATCCAGAAAGAACCAACTGTCAAATCTTACAGGACAGTCAGAAACCAGAGCAGACCAATAATTAGGTCCACATAGGGACATAAAAGTTAGAGCCCCATGTACAGCACATTACATTTGTTCAATCATGAGTTGACCCAAACCTGAGTGACTATATATATTCTCCTGTTTTACCAAATTACAGCTCACATAGCCTATGCTCTTACAGTTGCTTTTTATATACATAATGGTAAGAAGTACTATTTTCTATGCATATACATTAAATTCTGCTAAAGGGGTATAATGCTATTAGTTTTAAGCTTAGAATGTAGCCTTTGTTTGTTATCTTTGTACCAATTGTTATTGCCTATGTTTTTCTTCCAGTCTTCTGGTCGTCGATTGAGATACCTAACACAACAAGACAAACCTACAACTGCTGTCTCTCCTTCATTAACTTCCAGTCTTTATTCAAGTTCTCACATGCCCAAGACAAGTAGATCTGTATCTTCTGATTCATTGAGCTCAGCAGATTACCAAAGCACGTCAGCTGGCAACATGGAGAAAAATGGTATTTACTTCTTATATTGCTATATTTTATAACTGTTTGAATCTGTATCTATATGAGAGACATATTAAATATATCAGCCCATCAGTATCACACATACACACACACACAGGGAGGGAGGGAAAGACGAGGGAATACCTTTCTTCAAGCAAGCTGGAACCGGAAGGTAAAACCAACGGCAGGGGAGGGAAATCTACTCTAGGGTGGCTTGCTGATGTTGATGGGAAAGTCGGTCCCATATTCCAGAGCTGCAGTAGTCACAGGACTGGCCCTTTGGTCATCCCGGAGCAGCTCCTCCAGTCCATGGCAGGCTGGTGCACCCGGGTGGAGGAGCAGCTACTCCGGGATGACCAAAGGGCCAGTCCTGTGACTACTGCAGCTCTGGAATATGGGACCAAATTTCCCACCAACGTCAGCAAGCCACTGTCAGTCAAAATTCATATTAGTGGTCCATGGAATTTAAAATTATAAGTTTGGTGGTCCCTGAGGTCCAAAAGGTTGGCGACCCCTGCATTAGAGCTTGGAGTGGCTGTTGATGGATGGGAGAAAATGTGCAAGTGTGCACAAGTGCCCAAGAGAGTGTGGCACAAGAACAGTGAGGTGTGTGGGGATGGGGAAAACTTACCCAAGCAACTGGTAATCTTCCTGTCAGTATCTCCATTGACTTTGCTTGTGGGAAGCCAGCAGGAAAAGATGCAGTTCACAGTCATATGACTGCAGTTGCCATTGTAAATTTGAATGATCACTGAACAAATGGTTATTAACTGAGAACTACCTCTACTTGATAGACCCACAATAGACAGACAGACAGACAGACAGACAGACAGACAGACAGACAGATATAGATTGGTAGAGCTTGGTAGATGATGAGGCTAAACAAATCTCTCTGTATGAGTACTATCTTGTCTTATTTTGAAAATGGTCCGATGATTGAATAAATTACTATTTTTAGCTGAAGCTTTGTTTCTTTTAACAGAATACGAAGTTCAGGACCTGGATGACAGAACTTCAAACAAGCAGTCAGTAAGAGAGAGAAGGCGACCAAAAGAAAGACGGAGAGGCACTGGAATCTTTACAAAGGATGTAGGTATTGTCATTCATACATGAAACCAAAGAATGAAAGATTAAATTCTGATCCACTGGGATGGATAGCGCATTAGACATATACCCCTACCTAATTGCTAAAGACATAGGGCATTATGTAATTCTAAAAGGAAAACAAAAGACCTTCAGTGTATGTAATTGAAACTATAATTGTTACAATGTTTATTCTAAAGGTAGGAATAACATTGATTAAAAAACAAAATGCAAACAGTTTGCTTACTGTGTACAACCCTAATTAAAATAACAATATAGTACTGTTGGATGCATATTTAAGTAAGCAATTGGTTCACAATAGCTTCAGTAGTATTTTGCTGCAAATTAATCTGTCAAACTCTTAAATGTTCATTACAGTCATGTATTTGCACTGTTTTGCCCATCATCTTATCTAGAATATAGCTAAATCAATAGTTCCTTAGCTGAACTACTGGATATAATGCTCAGATTTTTTGCAATCTCCAGCACACCTTTGGAAAGTTACAGAAACCCCAAGATGAATTTTCAAAAGATTTTGTCAAATTTCTCTAGCTGGTTTAAAAGCTCATGAATTATTTAACGTGCTGTTGCATATCAGTAACTACTAGCAAGTCTCTCAGAAATTACAGTTATCCAACTCACAGTGTGGAGAAAGAGAAACATATTACAATGAAATTTATAGTGCTTAAAATGGATAATGAAACAAATGAGTAATGAAACAAGACCTTGCAGATTGATAGCATGTTTGTACTAAATTATAATAA